GGGGCAATGATTTCTCCAAGGGACTCATACAGCTATCCTGTCTATACTCCTGAGACTACCACATGCCTTGGTCATGGTGATTCCCTGAGGATAATTCTCTCCTGAGATGCAGACCAGAAATGACCTAGGTTTCACATGCCTAAATCCATTCAGGGGGTGACACTCATCTCAGATTCCCCACACCTATATTTGTGACTCCCACAGGGTCATTGTCAGTATCTAAAATGTCTTACTTCCATGGAGAAACTTTGTTTTTAACTTCTTTTCATAGACCAAATAAAGGTTCTCCACAAGTCTTATGTCAGACACTTTTTGTCCTCCAAAAAAGATAAAATAAACACTGTGGTCTGCATCTTTAAGGCTCTGTTTTTATCATGAAAAACAAAGTATTTAGTAGAAAAAATAAAAATAAAAAAACTTTTCTGATTATCCTGGTATTACAAATTTTATGTAGTTTTATTATGATGTTATACGTGAATTGCTAGAAATCAGATAACCAAACCAATTAAAGGTCAAATTAATAAGTAAGCCCTTTATTAAAACTGACATTTGAAAGAGGGCTCATGCCTCCCAGACTCTTGGTGACAAATGAAATCTATGGGGAGTCTTTATAGGCAAAAGCAGTTGGGAAACTGAGTCATTACAGAGATAAACACATGAAACACATGTTCTAGAGTTTGACACATAGTACACTTAGATAAGGTGGCACACAGTATACTTAGATAAAGGGGGCACATAGTATACTCAGATAAGGGGGGAAACTGTTAGAGTACTGGGTGGAGTGCAGGGCTGTGAGGGTTGTTTATAAGCAAAATTTTAAAATTCTTGCATCAGCCACACAGAAATTTAATAACAAGTTAACAACATGGAGACAGGTCACAAAATGGAGCTCTACATTTTAAAATACAAGCTTAGGTTTTATCTAATACACTGCAAACACTTTAAACATTTCATAAAATACAGCAAAAGCACTTTAAATAATTTGTGATATATATATTCGTTGGGTTTTTTTTGTCCCGGGAAAGTAAAACATTTTCTAAGTTCTTTTGAAGTTTTGACACTGGCTCCATATTGTGATTAGTCAAATTATTAGAGACATGTAAGAACCAGTAAGGATTATCTGGAATAAAAATTACATTAGTGCACATTTTAAAAATATCACAAATTATAGTAAAAATGTTTCACATATGATAACATACATTTTTTAAATTTTATCTATCAATGGCAATAAAAATAGAAGAGCAATGTGTAATGCTTTCTACTAAAAATTTCTTTTTTTCCCTCTTTTGATTTTTTTATTTTAAAGATGTGGGTTACATTTCAGGGTTAGGTATACAAATGTTCATTATGCAGGTATCCTTGTTGATGCGGTGTGCCTCGCCCCTGGCAGTTGCCTACTACTGCCAATCCTTTTCTTATATATACTAAATATGTCTATGCAAAATCCATTCCTGCAATAGCAGATCAGTCTCTGCTAAGGATTATTGCTAGCCCAAGAACCCACGGCAGAAAAGAAAGAAAACAGATTTTCAGAACACTTTTGACCCATGGATAGACTCTGAATTGTGAATCAGAAAATATGAAATCTAGACACAACTAGACATGAGTCACTATGTGCTCTTGAATACATGATTTAAAGTCTTTTGGTCTTAGCTTATTCATCTGGGTAATAATAAGAGTACAGTTTAAATATCTTAACCAACAATAAATACCTGTACAAGAATTATAAAATTGAGTCAAATTTTCCCAGGATATTAATTCCAGGCTTATGAAAAGAAGGATAGGAACAATATAAAGAAAATAGTTTCAGAAATGTAGTGAGTCCATTTCAAACTTGAGAAACAATTGGAGAATTTTTTTTAACAAATTATTTATATCTTTTAACCAATTCATAGAGATAAAGTTGGTGTTATTTTGTAAGCACATTGTTTAAGTAGGGACACTTTCTTTTGCACAACACATGATTGGATCTTTATTTAGAGGTCATGAAATATTATTTATCTGTGAATAATAAGAGGACTTCTTCCTCCATGTTTTAGAGGCTGCATGTAAACTATAGAGAAACATGGAGAATGCAGCAAAGACAGGAGAACTTAGGAAATATATCCCCTTAGGAAACATATCCCTAAAGGAATGCTGAATTGTGTAAGCTTCAAGTCCTAAAACAATTTTCTGTACTGTAAAATAACTTTTCAAATATATTTTACACCATCTACTGTCTAGTATGAACAAAGATTCATGTTTAGGAGACTTAGAAAAGGGAACTCTTATACACCATGGGTGGGAATGTAATTTAGTGCAGTCATTATGAAAAACAATAAAGAAGTTCCTCAAAAAACTAGGAATAGAACTGCCACACAATTCAATAACCTCACTTCTGTGTATATATACTAAAGAACTAAAATCAATATGTATAAGGGATACCTACACTCTCATGTTCACTGTAGCTTTATTTACAACAATCAAAATAGGAAGCAGCCAAAATGTCTATCAACAGATGAATGAATACAGAAAATTTAGTATATACACAATGGAATACTATTAAGTACTATTCAGTCTTACAAAGAATGGGAATCCTGTCATTCGCAACAACATAGATGAATCTGGAGGACATTATGCTAAGAAAGCCAGACATCCGAAAGACAAAATTCCACATAATCTAAATTATATGAAATTTCGGGTAGGCATGGTGGCACATGTCTATAATCCTAACATCTTGGGAGGCCGACGTTAAGAGGACTGTATGAGCCCAGGGGTTCAAGACCAGCCTGGGCAACTTGGATAAACCACTTCTCTACAATAAATAAAAAAATTAGCTGGGCATGGTGGTGCACACCTGTAGTTTCAGCTACTTGGAAGGTTGAGGCAGGAGCATCGCTTGTGCTCAGCAAGTCAAGGCTGTGACGGCTGTGAGTGTGTTACTGCATTCCAGCCTGGGTGACAGAGCGAGACTCTAACTCAAATAAATAAATAAATGAAGTGAAATTTAGCTAGTTTTATCTCATAGAAGAAGAAAAAAGAATGATGGTTACCAGAGACTGGGGGATGAGAATGAAAGGAATGGGGAGTTCTTGATTAAAGGATACAAAGTTTCAGATAGGAGAAATAGCTTTTAAGATTTACTACAAAGCAAGATGACTACAGTCAACAATAATGCATCATATATTTCAAAATAATTAAAACAACAAATTTCAAGTATCTAACCATGAAAAATTATAGGCAAGTGAAGTGATAGACATGCCTTAACATGATTTAATCATGTCCCATTGTATGTATATATAAAAATATCTCACCAAATTCCATAAATGTATAAAACTATGATTTGCAAATCAAGAATAATATTAACAATAAAATTTTAATAATGAAAACAAGAATCTGTATTAAGTAGCTACCTTAAAGAAATCTTTTGGTGGCCCTGATTCATTGCTTCTCATAGGGGAATAGCAAGGATATGGTTTAATCTTCCAATACAGGGAAAGTCACTTAAATTCTATGAATTTTATCCTTCACTTGTCAAGTATAGATGGTGACACCGACCTCAGAAGTTTATTGTCAGACTCGCACAATTCCTGCCACTTGCCTAGCATGCTGATGGAGATGATCAATATAAGTTTACACCTGATTTTTCTCTTCCTCTTATGAAAATGACCAAGGGCAAGGTCTGCTTTCTCTTTCATTATGTAACAGTAAACAAACAGTTTGGTAGTTTTCTGCTATCACTTTTTCCTCTCTATATTAAAATTAATGCTGATGCTTATTTCTCAGAGTTTTTAGGGGGATTTCAGATAACCAATACTGGTAAAAGATTGCATAAATGTACTAAACACAGGTCAGGTTGTTATTTCAGTGGCTAGAAGCAGAAGGAAAAAAAATAATAGGAGTTTGTTTTTACATGTATTAAATGATCATCTCTTTGAACTTTAAGATAACAATTAAGTAAATATGATTTAATCCTTGCTTGGAAGATTTTTTTTTTTCATTTTAGCAAACTCATTGTCAAAATGACATATAACTAGACAGTTGCAATATCGGTTCAAATACCAGGTATGATAATCCAATCCTGTGACCCTCTTCAAATCCCCAATGTACCTCTGCCTCTTTTGTATCAGCTATAAAATTAGGTAAATAGTAAATGCCTGTTCGAGATTATGCCATGAAACCCCTTTTTAGACAAAAAATGATGGGCATTGGTAGTAAAAGTTATTGTAAATATTGTATTGACTACAATATCAATAATTCAAATTAATGAATACTGTATATTTTTATACCAGATTAATATGCTGTGTCTTTTACTGGAAATCAAAGTACATTGAACAAAAGCAACACTCCAAAACAAAAGTTTTACTATTTTTCTTTTCTTTTTTTTTTTTTTTTTTGCAGACTGCCTTTTCAGCTCATTTGTTTTTGTTGATAAAGTGTTAACATATTGCACAACAGAACCAGGAAAGAGGTCCCAGCCTGGGAGACACTGCATCATGTACCCCTCTCTCAATCAAGGTTCCCGTGATGGGCACAGTGGGCATACAGCCCACTCCACTGCCCTGTCCACAGGTCCCTGGGCCGTGGTGGGGTCAGAGTGACCATCACTGTGAGGGCAACACGAAGAACTGGCAGCGTGTTCGTGGAGACGTTCACGGGCAGCGGCTTTGGAGCAAAGTCAGGCAGCTGGTGGCGTGAGGGGCCTGGGAAGGAACCTGGGGGGAGAAGGCAGGGGGCTGGGAACTACCCAGAACTGCCCTCCTCTTTGCCCACCCTGAGCCGCTACACTGTAGTAAAGAGAGCACTTGTCCATGTGAGCCACTTCATTTGGCTGAGCACTGGATCTGGGTTCAGGCACCACGATGCTGTCCCGGGGACCCTCCCTGCTGCACACCAATGGCAGGTGTGGCACAGACACCAGTTTCTGAGGGCAGGGCAGCTAGGCACACCTGGCATTTAGGTTGTTTTCTCCCTCCTGTCCTCCCTCAGTTCCTTCTTCAGGCTCTCGGCCACAAGCTTCATTTACTGCTGCTTGAGTGCCTCCAAAGACTCAAAATCCAATCTGGCCAGTTTCATCTGAATATGCCGTGGCTTATCAGGTATGGCAAATGCAAGTATAAACTTTAAAGCCAGGAGTGCATGCTCCATTGCTACTACAATCAAAATGAGATCCGTTTTTGATTCTGGGAAGACTGCATTCACTTGTGGTGACATTCCAATCAGAGCACAGTTAGTAACCACAGATATAACACTCATTGTTTCAAAAGCCAACTGCCATACACCAATATTGGTTGAAGGTTCTGAGAAGGGACGTTTGAAGACTCTGCACATTTTTAAGGCATCTGAATTGACTTCAGTGAAGTTATTTAACACTGCAAAGGCAGCTGCTAAAGGGTAAACACAGGAGAAAAGGCTCGCATAACCAAACTGCAGGAATAACTCCAAGTAATCATTGAAGGTACCCAAATAAGTTCCCATTTTTTTTTCCAGGGTGACTTGTTCATATAATGTAGCATCGATGTCTGCCTTTATGGCCTGCATCTTCCTCTTCACCTGCACACCATGCTTTCTTTGGAGCCAATAAAGAAGAAGAGATTCCACAACCTGGTTAAGGATCTGGGAGGTAATCAGAAGTGTGGCCAGGCTCTGGCGCAAAAGCTTCATATCCTTCAGGACAAAGGCAAAGCAATAGAAGAGTGAGGCAAAGCAATTGAGAAAGTTAAAACACTAAAACTTTCAGAATTAGATGATTCTGATAGGCAGATTCCAATCTGTGATTCTCCCATGAAGTTAAAAACTCGGCAGCATATCGATAGAGGCGGTTCATAATCTCAATCACAATGGCATAGATGATGCTGGGCACATACAACAGGATATTGGTCCACTCAGATCCGCTGTTCTCATGTAGACCTAAGGCCCAGGCCTCCATGTCGAAGTAAATCATCATGACATACAGAGAGAAATAGAGACAGAGGCACACAAATGGCAGGGAGACCAGGTAAATTCGCAACTGCCTCTTGTAGCTGGGGTAGAGAGGCTCCTCCCTGCCGGTGACAGAATTGATACCCAGGACACCATGAAATCCAGGCCGGGGTTCCTCAAACTGTCTCTTCATGAGCAGCATCCCCCACCTGTAGGTCATGTTGGCACAGCCACACTTCCACACTTCCAGGATCACCATAGACCAGATCAGGTTGAATGAGGCAAAGATCACATACTTGTCATAGTCTTCCCACACAAACATGTAGTAAGGTAAACCGATGACAGCCATGGGGATTAAGGCAAAAGTGAAATATTCCAAAAATCCAAAGTAAAGAGCAATTGATTCTCCAAAGTAGCTACGAATACTGTCTATGGGCTGATACTTGAAAGTAAACCGAGTGTACCAGGTGTCCTCAAGCTTCTTCCGGGCTTCATTATCATGCAGTGGAAACACCTGAACCACGATGCCAGACGTGAGTAATCTTCTCAGTAACGATTTTCCTGGATACAACTTTACCTGGGGATAACCAGGGATCATTTTTTCATCTTTAGCTCTAAGATTTTCAAGTTCATGTTTGATAATGAATTGACATTCTGCCATTGTGAGGAAATTATCATTGTTATCATCAAAACCTTTGAAGTTCTGCCGGGTTCCATATGTGAAGGCTCTCATGGTATTATCATTGCACTCTTTTACCAAACCCACTGCCTCTGCTCCTAGCAACAATCTAATGTTGGAGGCACCAACAAGATATAAGTTCTGATTTTCTAGAGTCTCTTTTTCATATTTATTTAACAATGGTCTAAACAACAACGGGGCACCTCCATCTTTTTTTTTAGTGACAATTCTGTTTTTCAGCCATTCTTTGGTTTCTTCTTTGACATCCTGAGCAAGTTCTATGACCACCAAAGGTGTGAAAGAACTTTCATAAGTATCCAGAGCTGACAAGGTCACTTTCATCTTTGAGAAACCTGCTGCAGCTGCGGTGCTCCACGTCTTCCGGTGCGGGCCTAAGAGCCGGCAACACCCACTATTTTTCAATTAGTATATCAGAAGTTACCATAGGATACACAATAATCAAAGATAAAATGACTCCATGCTTGGAACTCAGAAGACTCATTAAGTTTGTTTCGATTATTTTTGAGATTTGAATATTCAAATTATGTATATGTATGTGTATATATATATATATATATATGCACATACATAATTTAAATGAATTAATTTTATTTCAGTGAAGAAGGGCATTGGGCACTAGAAGTCTACAATGTAAAACAATGTTCTCTTAACTTTCTTACCATCTACATACACATCCTCCCAGAGGCAATAATTTCAAATTATCTTGTCTACTTTTTCCCTGGATGTGCACTTTCACATTCCAAGTGTGCTTAGGCTTGTACTGCTCGATGCATCTTCCCAAGACTGTCACCTGACCACAGGCTTTTACCGATGAAAGCCTCTGCAGTCATCGCCAGTAGACCTTCACCAGATCCAAGCCCCCACTGCAGTTACTTCCCACTTGGTTGATGTGTTAGGTTGAGAATGATTTTGTCAGCTTTACTCTATCTTCTAAAATCTATCATTAGTATATAAGAATGAAATGTTATTGCCAAACCTGACAACATCTGATTGTCATTGCTTCAAAAATGGCCTCATTTTTATTTTTCACCACATTATTATTAATATTATCTTATTTTCACTTAAACTCTGATTATTTTCAGTTTATATCTGTTATTTTGAATTTTCAAAAAATGTTTTTATTAAAGCATTTTGAAGTCCCAAGAAAATACCTTTCAGAGAAGTGGTTTTTATTCCTTTAGTAAGACCCTTTAATGTCGTTTCAGTGGTGGCTAATATTGTTTTGTTCTGTGAAATACCTTCATAGCTTCATCTCCTTCGTCTTTTTTATGTATTTGGAGAAACTACCATTGCCATTGGTATTCATACATCAGTTTTCTTATTTTCTATCTTTTCTTTCTGATTGTCTCTCCTTTTTTTCCTTTTGGTTATATTTTCTATTGTTTATCTACATTTTAGTTAAGATCAATTGTACTATACTTACTGTGATATTTTCTGATAATTTTCTTTCAAATTTTTGAATGAGTCATTTACATTAACCACAATATTTTTTAATTATCAGGGGCACTTCTTACTTTTGTAGGATTATTATCTAATATGTCTCTGAATATATTATTTATCTTAAACAATTTTTTTCTGATCTTTCAGTTCTTCTTTTTTTTCCTCAGTTTGAATCTCACCCTCATGACGACTTCCTAAAAACCTAATAACCCATGACATTAGAATTGTATTTGAGTCACAGGCTGACTCACTGGTTCAAGTTTGTCCGGGACTTTTTTGTTATCAAAGATGAAAGTGCCATACTCCAGGAATCCTTTTATTTCTAGCTTACCAGGGGGGTTGAGAGCTCTTTGAATTGGCATGGAGTCAAAATTTGTCTGTTGATAGACTTTCCTTTAAAATAAAATCTCTCCCTAACACCACAGGATCAAGCATTGTCCAAACCTCTTCCCTATTAACTGAAAAACCACCCAACCATCTAAATGCTGTCATCAAAAAATGTACCAAAATCTTCCATCTGGTGTTTCTTTCCATCTAGACCTTTTATTCTCCTGTGGTACCATCTAACAACATTTTAATTTCATTACCAAGATTTCAGTGTATTTCAGAGTAAGGGTTGATGAATATTTGTGAAACTTTACCATTTTACCTTTGATTGGCACAAGCTTTAAGTATATTATTGGACAGAAAAACAAGCAGGAGGAAAAGCCTTAAAACATTTTAAAATTTTACTCTCATATTTATGGATGCCTTAGAAGAATAATGATAGCTACTGTGCACAGGCTTGTAGATTTAAAGAAAGGTCTGTCCTATATCAAAGAATAGACAATTCAGATGAAAAGTTGAAAAGAACAATAATGAAGGAATTTTAAATCAAAAGTACTAATTTATAGCTGATGACATTAGGCAATTAGCATTTGGATGTTTCTGTGTTCATGATAGTTATTGATAATTGACTTTCAGCAAGATTTAATCAGCAAAGCAGCATCAAAAGGCAAATCTAGGTTCATAATATGAGATAAAAAGTTATAGTTATTCACGTAGGTTTAAAAGATGAGCAAAATATTATAATCCTGTATAGAAAAAAAGACTCCTATTTTTCTTAAAATTTATTCATAGGATGAGTCAATCACTCACTCGTTTAATTGATATTTAATATGCCACACAAGGCAACAATAATTATGCTGATGCTAAAATGAAACATTTGATGTTCTTAAGATAGGAATTTATGAAGGCCAGGCAATTATCTATGTCTTATCCAAATGTATATGAATATTTTTCTTTTTTAAATTTTTAAATATTTTACAAAATATTTTTGGATAAAAATGCTTCCCATTTTACTTTGTGATTTTGATAATAGAATGCAATCTATTTTTCAAAATAAAAAACTTTGACAATTCACTTAAGGATATGTGTATTTCATGGTTACTCCACAGTTAGAATAAACACATAATTGAAAAATAAGTGAACATTTTGCTATTCTTTATTAATCATGCATAATTTATTTTAGGAAAGAAGAAGCTGATGGAGAATTTTAATCAATATTCTCCAACAGATTTTTACCTTATTAAAGTTGTTTATGCCATCAAGAATTGGTGGAATTAGTAACATAATCACCTCCAGTTTCTACAAGCTTGTGCGAAGAAATGAGAAGCAAGGTTGGGATCCTCTCAAGAAAGATCCATGATAGAAAATCTGAAAGTTACAAAACACTGCTCAAAGAAATCAAAGATGATGCAAACAAGTGGAAAAATATCCCATGCTCATAGATTGGAAGAATCAACATTGTGAAGATGCCCATCTTACCTAAGGAAATCTACAGATTTAATGCAATACCCATAAAATTACCAGCAACATTCTTCTCAGACCTAGAAAAAACAACACAGGAATTCATATGGAAACACAAATGACCAAGAATAGCCGGAACAATCCTCAGCAAAAAAAAAACAAAAACACAGTAGGTGGTATCACATTACCAGATTTCAAACTTTACTATAAAGCTACAATAATCAAAACAACTTGGTACTGGTACAGGAACAGGCATATAGACCAATGGAATAGAATTGAGATTCCAGAAGCAAAACCTCAATTTCTCAACCAACTCATCTTCAACAAAGACTCCACCACCTATCACTGGGGAGAGGAGAACCTATTCAGTAAATGGTGCTGGGAAAACTGGCTGACCACATGCGGAAGACTCAAACAAGACCCCTATCTATCCCAATGCACAATTAACTCTAAATGGATCAGAGACCTAAATGTAAAATCTCAAACCATAAGAACGTTAGAAAATGAAGGACATACCCTCATGGAAATTCGAACTGGCATCCAATTCCTGAACAAAACCTGAAACTCACAGGCCATTAGAGATAAAATAGACAAGTGGGACCTCATTAAACTGACAAGCTTCTGCAAAGCCAAAGAAACCATCAAGAGAGCAGGGAGACAGCCTACAGACTGGGAAAAAGTATTTGCCAACTCCAGGTCTGACAAAGGCTTAACATCTTGGATCTACAAGGAACTCAAACATGCTGGAAAAAAAAAAACCATTATAAAATGGGCAAAAGATATGAACAGACACTGCTCAAAAGAAGACATCTGAGCAGTCAACAGACACATGAAGAAATGTTCAACCTCACTAATCATCAGGGAGGTGCAAATCAAAACCACACTGAGATACCACCAAACTCCAGTCAGAATGGCCATTAT